CTATTAAATATAATAAACTCTATTATTTTCTTATTGAATTTAATTACTATTTACTTCTTTCAATTGACAATCATAGTAAATAAATATATCAATACATTAATAATGATCAATTCTCATGAAATCTTTATGTCAACGAGATCAAATTATATCAGAGTAAAAATCATTCTAATCATAAATTTTAATAACTTGATTATTTAAAAAAAGGTAATTTTTTTGGAAGAACATTTTCACTAAAATTTTTAACTTTTGGACAAGTGATTTTATGATAGATATCAAGTACATAGCATTCAATATATCTTAAAACTTTTGTTATAATGCTTAACAAAGTTTGATAATAATAATTTTTATAATTGCTTTCATTAAACATAAAATAAAAGTAAAATAAAATGAGGTCAATACTTTAAAAATATGTATAACATTATCTTATTAAAAATAAGTAAATTCTATGAAAATTATATCTTCAAATTACTAAAATAGCTACTCTATAAATATGTAAAAGATTACATATAAAATTAAAAAAAAATTATATAGTGTTTCATAACTTTTATAATGTGTTAATATATTAAAATTAAAAATATATAATCTTTACATTTCACTGAAAAAAAATAAAATATTTGGAGGGTCACAGCCTTTGCAAGTCCCCCTCCTTCCACCCCTACTTATAGGTAATTAAACGAGAGAATGCAGCGAGAAAAGCAATTCTCGTATTACGTCCTTGCAACTTGTTCAGAGTTGATCGATATTTACAGCCCCAGTGTCCATATATATCAAATTCAACGAACAACTTAATGCCTCAAATAAATCATCATGATCATGAATGATAAAAAACCAGCATCATTTCCCCCCTCCAGGACTAGGGAGTCTTTAACAAGACAATTAAGATGCATGCCACTGTTGGATTTTTTTCTTATTTAATTATATTTTCGTAATACTTAATTGTATTTTAATTATTGGAATATTCGAATATGGAATATTCGAATATTCTGATAAGATTTTGGGTTAACTGAATCACATTTAATTAATTAATAATCTATGATGCTTAGGTTATTAAATGGAGAAATATTGAGCAGGTTTGGTGGCACGCGCAAATGCTTCTACGCTCTCTAAAGAGTTTCCTTACTTATAATGGTGGCAAAATCATCAGCCATTCATCATCATGCCCTCATGTTAGTAATTAAGAAGAATCTCCAATATAATCTCTCATGTCAGTCCGAAGAAATAGCATGACGTTATTCTATGTGAAAATTTTCCAAATGCTATCATGTACTCTAAAATCAGAATTTGCTGGCTATAACTATAAGCCTACATGAGAGCGTTTGGATATAGAAAGACAGAATGAGGGGAAGGGTGTGACGTCAATTCATGTGGCTATTTTTGTAAAGAGGAAAATCAGCCTACAATCTTCTTTCTGGATCCAGGGGAAGCGAGAATGATAAATGGAAGAAGCTGTGGAAGGTCACGGCACCTCATAGATGCAAGACCTTCATGTGGTTAGCTTCCCAAAACAGATTACTCACAAACGAGGAGAGATTCAGGAGAAGTATGAGTGCGAATAATATTTGCTCGTGGTGCAATGGCGCAGTTGAAAGTAGTTTGCACGTCCTTCGAGATTGCACAGATACAGGACAGCTATGGGGGTCTGTGATCAACACTAGATATCAATGGGACTTCTTTAATCTGCGAACAATAGATGATTGGATTAGCTGGAACTTGAAACAGGGTAAAAAACCAGAGTTTCAAATGAACAATGGATTATTCATGGTTCTATGCTGGAATATCTGGAAAAGAAGGAATGAACGGATATTTGAGGGGAAAAGTCGCTTCAATGAATGTATTATTGCCCAGGCGAAGGGCATGATGAGTTGTTTGGAGAGGGTTCAAACAAAGACAAGTTCCATTAATTGGCACGGAAATGGGATTCAGAACTGTGACCTACGATGGAAACCTCCAGAGACAAGTTGGGTGTCACTCTGTGTTGATGGTGCTTTCTCGATGACGCAACAGACTCGTGGGTGTGGCGGTCTGCTGAGGAACTCGGCTGGGCAATTTATCACAGGGTTTAGCTTACATTTAGATGAAGGTGACCACTTATCAGCAGAGCTGTGGGCTATTTTAATAGGCTTAAAGATTGCTTGGGATGCTGGAGTTAGGAAAATCGTGGTGGAGTCTGATTCAGCAGAAGCCATATCATTGACAGAGGTTACCAACTATTCTATACATCCTGACTGTCATATAATTATGGAAATTCAAAGCATGATCCACCGAGCATGTGAGATTAGAATTTGTCAAATTTCTCGTGATGCAAATGTTGCTGCAGATCATTTGGCGAAACAAGCTCTTGATGCGTGGCCTGGATTGCACATTCTTAGCTTTCCCACGGAGAGTCTTAGACGTTGCATGGATAGCACTTGTACTGTAAATGAGTCTAGAGTTTAGGCTCATCTATTTCTTATCAAAAAAAAAAAAATGGAATAGGCGTAGGTGGGTACTGTACACGTCCAGGAAAATGCGCAACACAAGACACATGTGGGCACATTTAAGTAGCCAGCTCCTATATTTTCGGCCTCAAAGCTATATCCAACCACAGTGCCTTCGCTCCCGTACAAACACATTCAATGGGAGCTATTAATCCTGGAGTATGACGTCCATATGTCGCCATCATACATGCTTTATCTCCTCTTCATCGTCCCTCCCTCCCAAACAAACAAGATCTGGAATTCCGATCTGCTCCATATTAACTTCTCCCTTTTTAACTTCTCATGCATGTGTATAAAAAGTATGACGATCTCAATACTTGTGCACAAGAGAAAGTAGTTTTCATGTAATTAAGACCTGTATGGACCGATCTTCCTAATTAACCATGACAGGACAGTGCAGAAGTTTACTTTGTTGGACTTTTATATATCCTATCTGGCAAGTTGAGCAACGGAATTTCACTTAACGAAAAATGATTTATACCGGGTGCAGCGCGCGCGTCTCTTTTCCTTCTATCAGAGGAAAATGAAAGTTCAGATATTCAGATTAAGCAGAAAGAAGTGATATGAATAAGTGAAGAACTTGGGAGCCGATCGAGAGTTTATTGATTAACCAAGCAATGATAAGAGAGACGGATGTGGGGCAGTGCAATTGGCAATTGGGCTAATCATCATTCGTCGCTGGCAGCGAGGCCACTTGGAAATATACGTAAGAAAAGTTGAGGTTGTTTGGGGTGGGTCCTGATTATCATTGAATCGAAGGAATTTTCTTTTAGTCACCCTCTTTCTGGACCACACAGTTTGTGGTCTATACTGTATACAATTTGGATCTGAATCTTTCCCGAAATGGTCACTCCTGTCGGGCTCAACTAGCTGTCACAGTACAGACTCACATTGTCATCGCAAATATGAACTTGAATACCGGGCAAAATTTAGTCCATATCGTATTTACAGTGCGCGCGCACAAACCAACCTTGCCGCCCTATATATATAAATATTAACTTAAATATTAACCCTTGTAATTAGCGTTACTTGTTTGAGGGTGAAAACTTGAACAATTTTTCAGACAAAAAATCGATCTCATGCCAATATAATTAAGCTGCTCTACACAATTCGTTTTTGAGAATGATAAAGACACGCCAAGTTGCGCAGAGGCAGAGGGATTGAGTTTGAGTAGGAAATTGAGAGGGTGGGTTTATTAAATAGACGGGTCATACTCCAGAAAGGACAAGAGGCTAACCATGTCTCACCCGTAAACTTGAAGTAATAATTCATGTACAGCTAGCAGACCTAATTTGATTCGGAGGCAACGATCTTCACATGATTTATTGGTGGTGAAGTGAAGGAAGACCAGGTGATATTAATATATGTCTGCACGTACTGTAATATTTTCCTTTGCAGTGTGTTTGAACTCATTGATGCATTGACGGCCACCGGTGAAGTAACGGAACTCGTAAAGAGAAAAGAAAGAGTCAAATAAGTCAATTGATCGACGCAGCAAATTTGCCACTGAAATGTCATCGCGTTGATTCAAGTGAATTTTGCAGCATTCAGTGTCCCACGGTTGAGCTCGATCGATCGAGGACAAGTGCTGTGGGGAAATGCTTTCTGCAGGTTCCAAGCTGTGATTTTCAATTTGTACTCGTTTGCCAACATCATAACCGTGCGTGTCACTCATGCACATGTGGTTGGCATGTCTTAATCCACCAAATTCATTGAACGTTGAAAATATTTGGGCCTGAAATATGAATATGATGGTGTAGAAGTAAGGCTATAAAGGTGGTAGTCGATGGTAATACTTATATCGTCGTTATCGACATATACACATACATATCATGCTACAAACCAAGTAATTATTAGCTCCTTTTGAAATCTTGCAGAGGGAATTGTTAACACACTGAGATATTAAAGAATGCAGAGAAGAGAAACAAACAAAGGGGCGCCGGCAGAAGGGGACTGATTAAAACACGAGTTAAACTTGATGATTCAAGTCTAAGCCTCTAGTTCTTGGTAATTAGGAGTGGGAGCGATGCATACAATAATACAAGAGCCATTTTCTATAGTGGTTACTAGCCTTTCATGGTAAATCCCCAAATGAAAAAGAACGTAACTCCTCAACGACCAAGTTGTGTAGTCAGAATGACATCAATGACGCAATATATTCTCCACTTGAACATTAAGAAATTCGTTTCCTTGTAGCACCACCAATAAAATCAAGAGAACAATTACAACAAGTTCAACAACATAAGCACGAAAGTTTCGAAGTATCGTCTTGAATATATCCAGTTCACCCTTTCTTTTCTCAATTATTAGAAGGGCGTGCAATTATACATTATAATCTCCGTTAGACGATCTCTAATTAGGGCTTAATACATGCTATTAGAATCATAATTACATTTTGGCGAACAAATGATTATTGAGGAGGAATAAGTGTCAGATATGCCAGAAATATGAAAGGAAAAATAGAGAGAATTTTTGGGGCGGGCAAGGTTAATTAAAGAGGAAGGAGGGAGAGTAGTCGAGTGGGGTGTGAAGGGGACGCATAAGAGCGTGATTAGTGACTTGTCAGGTAGTGGGAATGATGATAATAATAATGTGAGTTGAGTAGAAAGAATGCCTCTGGTAAGGGAGGCAGTGATTCAGACAGCCCGAGCAAATATCTTACCATTCTCTTTTATTCCACAGCTTCACCGATTGCCCATTGCCTATTGCCTGTGCGCTCATTACTATTCACTTCCTCGCCTCATAGCTTCAGCCTATATAGTGCAAACCATCCAGCGCAACATTCGCCCTCCTCCACCTTTTCTCCTTCTTCCTCAACATTCCTTCCATTCCCTTGTGAGTTGTCAATATCCTCTCTCGCTTCTCGTTAACTTGCAATTGCAGCGCTAGAATATGCGAAGCATGGCGAGCTCTCCCTCCTCCCGAGGCATTGCCGCTATCGTCGGCGTGGGCCCCAAGCTCGGCCGATCAATCGCCCGCAAGTTTGCTCACGAAGGCTACACCGTTGCCATCCTTGCTCGCGACCTAGGCACTTTTTGCTAATTTCTTCTCCCTTTCTGTTCGATTAATCTTTGGAAACTGTGATGAGCGGTAGTTGATTATATCATGAATGAACAGGGAGGCTGTCGAGATTCGCGGACGAGATAGCGAGGGACGAAAAGGCACAGGTATTCGCAATACGAATTGACTGCTCCGATTCGAGAAGCGTGAGAGAGGCATTTGAAGGAGTGCTGTCTCTAGGATTTGTGGAGGTCCTTGTCTATAATGCTTACCAGCCTCTTTCCTGGAACCGCACTTCCTTCCATGACGTTCGCGTCGAGTCTTTTGAAAAATCTCTCGCCGTCTCTTCCGTCGGCGCCTTCCACTGCGCCCAACAGGTATGCATCATCTCACCAATTTCTCGTTCGGCAAATATTATAATTCAACCATTTTACGATGGAAAATCGGTTTCCAGATCATTAATCCACAATTAATTGTATATAACATAATTCTGGCTTGATGGAATCAACGAAGGTGCTGCCGGGCATGGTGGAGCGGGGAAGGGGCACAATTCTCTTCACTGGCTGTTCGGCTTCTCTAAACGGCATTGCGGGTTTCTCGGAACTTTGTAAATATATAGTCCCCTTTCTCATTTGATTCGTTTGGTATCATATATTTTATTATTATTTAGCAAATTAATTTGTTGGGATGGGACATGGGAGATGAGACAGGCTGTGGGAAATTCGCTTTGAGGGCACTATCGCAGTGTCTGGCCAGGGAATTTCAGCCCCAGGGAGTGCACGTAGCGCATGTTATCATCGACGGTGTAGTTGGCCCGCCGAGGTTCGATCTCGTTGGTTTATCGTTATCCCTTTCCCCTCTCAGTCTCATCTTTTACTTATTCAGTTCCTCGTGTAATATATGCCCATTCTTTCATGCTTGATACTTTGTTTTTGTTCACCATGAACGATGAAATTATATGAAATTTTTTTTGATTCTCTCTTCCCAGAAAAAGAAAGCTCAGAGATGCAAATTGGTGATTAAATCTTGGGGTTTGGACATGTTATGCAGGGGAACAGCGGCATTTCAGAGAGCGTCCATTGGGGAACAACCCAGTGGAGTAGGGGACGGCACGATGGACCCCGACGCTCTTGCTCAGACCTACTGGCAATTGCACGTTCAGGATCGTAATGCTTGGACCCAGGAGATCGACCTCCGTTCCTCCACTTCAAGATTCTTCTAGCTATACTAGTTCTTTTCCTTCCCGTCCCATTCCTTTTCTGATCAATCATTCTCGATCGAGTTTCTCTCAGTTAATTCTATGCTCTTTTCCTTGATCTCAGTTATACATAGAAGTGAAAAGAGGTCGAGAGAGAAGGTTTTATTTTGTGTCTTTTTTTTTTCAATGTAAAACGTATGCATATATGTTCACGAAGGGCTTGTTGTAAAGTTGCCGTCGTTTCTGAAACGTAACCATTGAGACTTGGCATTTTACTCTAAAACATGACCAGTGACAATTTTGTCGGCAATGGGACGACTTGTACAGGGAGAATCGGAAGTGGGATATGATAGTGTGATGGGTCCAACCTCGGAAAAGCTAGAAGTGGGGGGAAGGGGTGGGATGGGGACAGGGTTTCATGGATGAAAGAAGGACTTCGTGTTCCAATGTGGGACACACAAACTTGGGAGTACTTGCTTCAATCTGGAACACTTTCTTTTGAGCGCATGGTGATGAAGAACTGCTCGTTGGCATGGAAATGGGAACAGAAATGTTTCGAGGAGGGGACAAAAATTGGGGAGTGAGTGGTAGCACTCAGAAAAAGAGAATAGGGTGTGGGTGACGTGTCAGTTGCGATATTTGTCGGAAGAGCCGTTAAACATTGTAGGGCGGAGGGGCTTCACTGACAACTCAACTACTTTGGATAACGTGACTGCGGGGTCCACCGCAATGAATGTGAGTGGGTATTACATGATTGGGTGAAGCCGGGCGACGCTTCCATTCATAATTGAGCTTTGTAATTGCCATCGTATCAGACCCAGGGCGTCTCGTCTCAAAAGTTATTGTTGCAACGTGTCTAGTCTCCAGACACTCTCACTGCCTCATTGATTCGCTTCTTGACTTGTGACTATGCTCTGTAATGCTGAACCTATTTTATTAGTTTAACTGTTTTTATAATTGCTTGCTGTAAAGGTCAAAGCATATTTTTGCTTTTGTAGCTCGCTGGCCCCAGAATCGGCGTGTAGGTTGAAGCCTACGTCTAGAGGGGGATCCAGTTCTCTCTCTCTCTCTCTCCCCCCGTCTTTCTTTCTTTCTTTCTTTCTTTCTTTTGAGATCTGGGTTATCTCCAGTATTTTGATTTTGACCTCGGTGCATACAAACTTGGATTTTTTTGTATGCATTTAGGTAGTTTAGGAACCCAAAAAAATAAAAAAAAAAATTGATCTATTTTTTTTTTTTTAAAAGTCTTCTCGAACATCTATTCAAAAGAGTATGTTATTTTATTTTAACGTACGCTTCCTAAAAAATATTAACTCTTTGCCTTTTATACTAATAAATACTTGAATTGTTTATTGTGAATGAATTTATTGTCAATGATTTAATCCAATTAAATTAAATTGTTATGCTTCAGAACATAGGAAAAAAAGTAAAGAAACAAAGCACCCTATGTATCCTTCAAGTATGTACTGAATCACAATTCAATGTATCCTTCATATATTTACCTATTCATGAAATAAATAGCATAAATTCTAAATAGAAGTATATTTATCAAAAATTTAAGGTAACTGATTTATCAAATATCTATTCCCTGCAGACCAAAATATAAAACATTAGTAAATAATTCATGATTCTCAAAAAGTATTAGGTGAAACCTTAATTTTTTTTAAAAAAAATTGGACCTTTCTAATTGTATCTTTTTTCAAAAAAAGTAACAAATGAAAAGGAGATATAGGTGCAAAAATTATAGAAGTTATCAAATATTCTATATTTTGAACCAAATAAGACTTCTAAAAAATGTCTTATATTATAATTGGGAGGGAGTAACTTGTAAATGTGGAAGCAGTTGATAGGTCTACAAGGCTGACACTAGAAAAGAAACGAAGGCCCATATTACCTAGCATAAATCTAACCATGAGATCATGGAAGCTATATTTTACAATCTAGCTAGAGTGAGACCTGTGCATTTGCATAGAACCAGCTGAGGGGTTCAAAATGAGTTGCACTATATATGATTTATCAACAATAATACTTCTTAAAAATATTGAATTAAAAATATAGATCACCTTAGACTACAATTCCTCCATCCACACATCTTAGTTCTTGAAGGAAATGGATGCGTGGCCTGTCAACATGTTCTGCATTCAAATGCCTTCTTTTAGAGGTGTACCTGGGGATTGTATAGGCAAGACTATTAGTGCCAGTTGCCAGATTTGATCTAGACGAGACATTTTCATTAACATAAGACCCGGAAGGTGGGAATTCATGTTTCCTTTCTTCTGACAAATGAGGAATCAGCTGGAAGCTGATAACGGTCAGCAGATTTATACCATCCTCTCGTAGATAATGTTCTTGAAGATGCATTTTGCTTCCAAGTTGCTTGTCTTGGTGAAATGGTCTCATGAGGCTGGGAGTCAGAGATTGTACTTCGATGTCCATCAAGATCAAGGTGTCTTGCCTTTCGCATGTGATTGGTACATGATCTTCTCACCTTTGATGGTTTGGTATGCTGGATTTCAAAATGGCCGTTGACACCTAATTATATATCAAATATAAGCAACACAAGTCACCGATGATATGAAAGACTAAAACATAGTGACACATGCCGCTCCACTTACATCCATGTGCACTACATTTAACCTTCTTTTGTCTCATTGCTTTAACAAGCCTTGCCTCAGCACCACGTAGGTGCTTCTCAGAAAGCACTTTGACTCTTTCAGCTTCATTAATCCATCTCTAAATGGAGGAAGAATAATACAAGCACTAAACAGAGTAGTCAAAACAAAAACACGTAAAATGCAGTGACAGATACCTGTCTGTAAGTTTTCAATTTATAAAGATTACGGCCCTTAACAAGCAAAGGGAAAAGTGGAGGCAACTTCTTAACCCCACTACTCCATATGACTTCAACCTGCAGGAATTGAATGGAATAAGGACTCACAATAGGGGAGAAAAAGTTAAATCTTAAGGAACCTAAAATCAAGTGCAGAGAGCTTTTCGCAAAAAGTTTTTTAGAATCTTCATCCAAAAGATGTCTTAGCACATTTATTTCAAAATTACATGCAATTTTTGAGATACACTAAGATCTAATATGCTTAATGCCATATAAGATACTAGGAAGCACTAGCAAATTTGAAAAATATCCCATTCTATTGAAACACTGTGGGGTTTTCAAATCCAAAGTTCCAGAATTGTTCTTTTTATAAAATACTAATACTTGTGTATCATTTTTATGAGAACTTGTGATTGTCAACAAACATGGAAATCTCAAATATATCTTGGTATCTTGCACCAAAGCGTCTAAATGTAAGAAGTGTATCAAACACCTTTACGGACAAGAAAAAGATAAAAAGACAGGATAAATTAACAGTGTAATGCGTTAACCTAATTTTTTTTTTTGTTTATTTGATTTGTTGGGGTCTTAGGAAATTTAAGAGACTAAGAGTTATGTTTCAGAAGCCAAGGAGCAATTGCACTGCTTGCAGCGAATAACCTCAACAACAAATTAAAAACCAACTATTACCTAAAGACAAAGTACTAAAAATGCAAATATAGCCTCACGTTTATAGTGAATTTATAAAGTCTAAGCCTTACTGTGAAGGTATGTTGCTGCTTTGTTGCACCATAACTTTCTTTAACTACCCTCCCAGCAACAGTTCTTTTTCCTAGATGTCTTCCTCGCTGGGTTGCTTTATCAAACCTATCAAAATTATACCACTGAGTTAAGAAATAAGAACAAGGGTCTAAAAGAAAATCTCTATATCAATATTGATGAAGAGCTAAGAGAGGAGTACTTTTCACAAACGTTCTGTCTGAACAGGACAACATCTCCCTTACATACATCACCTAAGAAAAGCAAGCAGGCTATACTGATCATATAAAGAACTTAAACATAAAAGTAGATGAAAATATAATCACAAAACTATTTACCAGTACAATCAATGATAAAGGATGATCTCGGATAAAGTGTATATCCATGTCCATCTTTAATCCTGAAATATCAAAATAGACACTAAATAATGCTAACATTGGAAGGTAAATATCTTTTTAAGTTTAGGAGTTGCTTTTCTTCAGACAGCAAGTTATATGAAAGTTTATAAAACTAAGCAGTCTTGTCTTCTTTGGAAAGAATCAATATCTTACTTACTCCATTTTTTCGTTTTTTGATAGGGGGAATAAAAAAAGAAATTTCCAATCACTAACATGAGGTGGTCAAAGGAGAAAGTCACATTCGAGGTGCTAGACCCATAAAACACCTGAGACCAGAGGTGCAGAAAAGATACTTGCCTGAGTGAAGCAAGGAGCAATAATTATAACACACACACACCCACACACACATATAATGTAAAGAGTATGAACGAAAAAAATGGATTAATGTAAATCCAAATAACCTTCACATACACAAGAAATTGACAAAAAGAACAACGTGCATGTCCAACACACTTCAAAACACACGTGTCAGACACAACGTGACACCTGAAAAACTGCCTGACACATTGAATTGTCATATGTGGCAAAGTCTATGCTTCTTAGCCAAAATAAAGTCACCAGAACCAAATATAGAACATATAAATTCTGGCAGCTCAAGTGTGCCTCATAAGCGTCATCTAGTCCACAGTCCTCAATTTCCCCAAACTAGAAGGGATAACACATATGCATGAATTTTATGTGGCCAAATTTTACCAGACCACCTTGAAACTAAAAAAATCCATGATCATGACCAAAGCTTAGACATCGAATATAGGGAAAAGGCATCGCAAACTATCAGCACAGATACATGCATTTTGCGTGTCACAAGAGTTGGCTAAGAAATTGTTAGCTAAATACGAAGATCAAATCATCATACGTCTCTAGGTTGCTAGAAAAATATTACCTCCAATGTTCCCTCATTCTCTCAATACAAACATCTCTATTCCCTGCCAGTCTGAGGCCATTTTTCCGCAGATATGCTTTGCAATCTTTCAATTTCAGAGATTTTAAATCATTTCCTTCCGCAAATGAAAAGATGTAAACAAAATGATCAATAATGATTAATAAAAGAAAAGGAAGTGGAATATTCTTCACAATTTGTTACTCATTTTAAGCCCAAGAAGTAAAGAATTAGAAGAATTCGTGTAACTAAAAATTGATTAGGCAGCAGGCAGGACTGAGATATACAGAACCCTCAGAAGAACCTTGAAGAAAGGCAAAAACTTTGTCGGAAAAGGATTTATCATCACTGTCGTCAGACTTTTCATCATCGTCATCCACAGATTGTCGCTCATCGTCATCATCAGCGTAGTCGTCGTCGCTGGTTGTATCTTCCATGTCATGATCATCAATTTCTTCAGAAGATGAAGAAGATAGAACAGTGATGGCGCGCTTCCCTCTCGTCTCGCCCATATTTGAACGTGATCAGAATCAGACCAACGAAAAGGGAACCTTTGCCTCTGTGGTATTGAAAGCGCGCGCTACTTCCCCCCGCGCGATCTGGGCCGACTTCCAGGGAACCAGTTTGGGTGATCAGCGGCACCTAAACGCACCGTTAGGCCATTTAATTAATTGGGTTTTGGCAATGGCAACCACCGAGGATGAGAGCCTCGGGGAGATCAGAATCAGAAGGGCGGAGCGAGAATGGGGTGCAGCTCATGGGGTAGGCTTCTCTGGCCTTTTCTCCGCCATCCCTGCTTTGCACTACATAACAGATTTAACGTGTTTTTACTTTTATTATATATTTATTAAAATAAAAATATTTATAAATTATTAAAAAAATTAATAATTCTGCTTAATCAATTCATATTTAATATGAATTAGAATATCTAAATTAAATCTTTACTATGTAGATTGATCTTATGGGGTAGGCTTCTCTGGCCTTTTCTCCACTATCCCTCCTTTGTACTATATAACAGATTTAACGCCTTTTTATTTTATATTTATTAAAATAAAAATTATTTAAAAATTTAATAATTCTAATTAATCAATTCATATTTAATATGAATAATTTAACTTTAATATTAAATTAAAATGTTCAAATTAAATTTGTACTATGCATGATAAAAAAATTACTAAAAATTATATAATTATTATAAATTTTTTTAATAAAAATAATTAAACCTGCATTATCCTGATCTTCCCCTGTGGTGCAAAGGAGGGGTACTGGAGGGAATACTCGGAGGAGAGAGCCCAATCTGTACTCATGTACTTGTAAGCATGATGTTGATGATAATAATAACATCTAAATCGTTCAAATTTCAATTGATAGGAAAAATGACAAAATTTTTTTTACTAAAATATATAAATAACAATCAAATCCTTCAAAATATCATAGTTTTTTCGAAGTTTTTAGATATCATCTTGATATTAATGATTTTAGATTAAATGATTAAATTATCCCCTTATTTAAAATAAAAATAATAGGTCTAGTTTCATTTTTTCAATCATAACTTTTATTTAAATAATCACAACTTTTATTTTATAAATCATAAAAATTAAATAAAAAATTATAACTTCTCATGTAAAATTTTTTTTATCATTGAAGTTTAAATTTTAAAAACAATCAATTACAACTATTGTTTTAGTAATTATAACTTTTATTTTGTAAATCACAAAAATTAAATAAGAAATCGTAACTTTTCACATGAAATTTCTTTTATCATTGAGTCCAAGTTCTAAAGTTAATTATTTATAACTTTTGTTTAAATAATTATAATTTTTATTTTGTGAATCGTAAAAATTGAACAAAAAATCACAATTTTTTATGTGAACTCGTTATTTTTAAATTTTAAACAATGAGAAATTTAGTAATTTAACTTAAAATAATAATGTCAAAAAGGTACATAAGGAACTTAGATGAATTATGAAATTTTAGGGTACCTAATTTTTGTTTATAATTTTGATAGGATTTTATTGTCATTTTTCTTATTTTATATTTATTAAAATAAAAATTTTAATAAATTTATTTTATCATTAATTTAGAAGATACAAATTTAATCTAAATAGTCTAATTTAATATTAAAATTTTTTAAGATTTTTATAAATTAATTATCCACATATACTTTGAACAATCTAAGTTTAAAATATTTAACTTGCAAATTTTTTTTAAAATACCAATTTGGAGGTTATCTTGATTTTTAATAGTTTATTTAACAAGATAAAAATTAATTAAAAGGGAGAATACTCTTTCCGTTCAAAAATATAAAGTATTTTTAACTGAATCTTACCCCCCAATAAAGTAATTATCTACTTTCTAACTAACGTTATATTTTTATATTTACCTCTATTAAACACCCTGCAATAAATATAAAGTCATTATCAATAGAGGTACTTTTAGAAAAAAAATAATGATTACACCTCAAAAAATTAAAAATGCCTTACATTTTTTAATATTCAATTCCTCAAAACATGTCTTATATTTTTAAATGGAGGGAGTATCTTTAAAGGATCTAGAAGCAATTTAATTTGATAAAAGGGCTATTAACAAACTAAACATTAATAATTAATAAGTGGAGATCTTATTTTAACAAATATTCAATCCATATAGGTCTTATTAGATATTGAGTCCTTAATTGATACTCATCTGCACTTTTTTTTGAGTTATTTATGTAACACTTCAAAATTTCATATCACTTTTTGGCAAAAATACAATTAAGTAATCAAACTTTAACCATTAAATACTTATCATGATAGAAAAGTGTCTACCATGATAACAAAAAGTAAAACTTATTTTTTCAAAATGCTATCATGATAAATAAGGCTTATCATGATAAAAAAGACTTTTGGCAGTGTTTTAGAAATCCTATTAATGGGACTGTCTCTCTCAAAATTAAACTAGCACTAACCTAAATGTAGTATTTAGGCCAACCCTAAGTCTTTTCACAAGGAGGTGATTTAGACTTTTTAGGCAAGTAAACTAGGTGAATAGATTAACCAAATAATTAAAGTTGTTACTTAATTATTTAATGAATTAAAATTGCAACCTAACCTAAAGTATGTTTAGTAAACTTCCCTCATCAAGTAGGAACCCTAGGATATTGTTAATGAAATAATCTTAGCTTGCAAATGAATGTGGTAGCTTACTCAAACTTCTCCCCCTTGGCTAAAAATGATGATCAATCAAGACAACCATCTTAAGCAACCTAATTTCAATAACTCAATTCCCTAAGACCTAATTACAAGCCCTTAAGTTATCTCATTAGCTTAGTTTAGAAATTAACTAAGTGTTCAGTCAAATTTCCTCTCCTAATTGTCACAATCCAATTGTACTCAAGTATGAGACTATATAACTTAAGCATTTAATTGAACATTTACTAAACACAAACACGTAAAGTCAATGTAAGATCATCACCAATGGAAAATCACATTCCAATGCAATAAATTAGTGGTGACCAAAACATTTAATGACAATAAAAAAAGAAATTCAAGTTAACAATCTTGGTCTAATACAGTCTTTCATAACCAATCATGATAATAAAGTCAAAATGAACAACAAATCAACCATGATCATAGTTTACAAATTAAAATGAAATAAGAGGAGGATTAGGTTGAGTTTAGCCAAAAATAATCTTCAATGCTCCTCTTTCATTAACTCTTTCTTAGGATTCCACAGAGAATTTAGCTAGAAAACACTATCATCATATTGCTCTCTCAAGAACTTGACATAGGCAAGTAGAGCTCCATGAAAGGTGATGAATCCAAGCTTTCAATCTCCATGCAAATGGGAGAGATATGTTTGGCCAAGTAGGTGGAAGAGAATTGTGGAGGAATTTTATAGATTTGATGGCTAAAAGTGAAGAAATAGATGCTGGAAGTGTAGAAGAAAAAGAGAAAAAATGAAGAACAAGTGAGAGAAAATGAAAGAGATGAAATAAAGTGATATGTTAAACCTAATATTTGAAGTGAGAGTGGCATGAATATTGTTTGCTTCAGTTGATCTAAGTATTAAAAATAAAAAAAACAAAATTAAAAAGCAAATATCACCAAGTCATATGGAAGAGTCTTGCTAGGTGGCACTTTTCTATTGATTTATAGATGATTTCAATATGTGTCAAGTTAATCTCATGCTTCATCCACTTTTTAAGTATATCTACTCCACCCAATTAAGAGGGAAGCATGCCCTAAATAAATCAGATTTGGCTCCTTGGTTATTTTGACACATTTTCTCAATTGATACACAAGTCACATGCCAGATATATTACAAAATACACATACATAATTCAATTTAATAATATATGACATCATAAAATCAATTAAAGTGTAAAAATTAAATTCATATTTGGAAGGAATAATTTATTAAAATATCCAAGTCTTTAGGTGCATAAAATCATACAAAAATTTTCACACAAATGTAAACCCAAACCTAAGTCAAACAAGTACACTTAAGAAAGTCAATGAAAAGTGTTGACTTTTATTTAATTACTTTTAAATTAAAACAAATTTTTAAAATTTAATTTGACTACTCTTCTTTTAAACTTAAAATAAACTTTGACTGATTTTATCATAAATTTTCTCAAAAAGTTTAATTTTTGGACCAAAATACTCTTAAAACATAAAACCTAGAGACTTAGTGAAATTTTAATTGTAATGCAATATGTGTGCATTTTGAGCCAATAAAAGATTATAAATGGTTCTAATTGATATGAAAAAGTGCATAATAAAAGTGTTTTATCACCTATCATGGTAGAAAAGAGACTACCATAATAATAAAGAATCAAAATCAATTCTATTAAAACTTATCACAGTAGAAAGGATTAAGCAACAATAAATGAAGCTATCATGGTAATTTAGAAGGTAAATAATAACAAAGGAATGAATATGAAATATGAGTTAATTAATTTCTACTTAGTGGGATCCCATTGAAATATATAGTTTAAAATAAATAAAATGATGAAAAGGGTATTTAAGAGCAAAACATGGTTCATAAGGAGTTAATTTGTCCAAAAATAACTCAAAAATAGTTAAAAAGGGCAAAGCGACCATTTAAAAAATGTAAAAACTAATAGGGGCAATGCTATCATAGGCACGCCATACACCATGACATGTATACATGCCCTATGGTACATGGCACAGAGATGGTCTCCCCTTCTTTGTGTCGTGTGCCTCAAGTAATTTACATGTACTGTGGCATACAACATAGCACATGACAGAATAAATAGTACAATTGAATGTTGAATGGGCACAACTTTTCACACAGGCATTTAATTTGAGTTATTCAAGTGTCTACATAAAGCTTACTATAAGATCTAACTAATAGCTTTGTTTTGTTACAAAAGGTTATCCAAATGAGAATTTTATCCACTAAAATGCATTAGGATACAAAACACAACTTTTCAAACATCTAACACTTCACCAATCAAAACCAAAACCTCTAGCAATTATGTAGGACACTTGATCATTTCAAATACATTTCAAACAATAATTCTACAATATCAAATTAGCATATGTATTCACATCTCCTATAGTTGGATTACAGTCATCCTATGTAGTATATGTACAAAATACAATAACATGTGGCATAGGAATTTTTTTTTCAATTCAAAATATTCAAATAAACATATAAACGTATAAAGGCCATGAAGGTCACCAGAAATCAACTCATGGCAATCAAGTACGAGTTTTACTCAAATTTTAGAGTCACATACTCATAATTACATAATGATGCCCTATGGTTGGCAATGTCCACATATAAAT